CTATCCATGCAACCTACCCGTTCTTGTTTGAGGATAGAGGTACATTGCTTGTAGTCATAGAGTATTATATGGCTTGTTGCATATGCATGTTGTTATATGTGAATGTGTGTAATTTTGAGGACAAAATTCCTTCAAAGGGAGGAGATTGTAAAATGCGGAAAAATTAAGATTTTAAGGACAAGGATAAAATGGTAATTAATCGTTTTGGTATGAGTGAAAAAAAAAATAAACTTTTCTAGAAATCATATGACGAAATGGACCTCACCATTGGATTCATCTTGCGAAATCTATCTACCTAGTTCATTTTCGTCGAATTCTAAGACAGTCAAAATTTTTTGCATTTGACGAGGCGATTAGGCATCACTCCATTAAAATAAATGTGATCATGATTTAATTGTGAAACACATAAAATAATTTAAATTTAGTTCAATAAAAATGTACTAAACCTAAAATAAGACAAGATTTAATTGATTCAGAATAAAATTGGATTAGAAAAATTCAAGACGTGTGGAGCGTTTTAAGCCATGCAATTAGAGCGTATAAAAGGGGGAAAATTTTTAATTTTCCCCCATTGAATTTCTGGAAAAGTCGTTTTCCCACCTTCTCCCTCCGATCCACAACAATTCGACCGTGAAATCTCTTTGAAAAAGAAATAAAGCCACTCTGCGCAATCAGAGCTATGCATACATACCAAAGATCGTGAGTTTTGCCAATATCTCAAAGACGGGGATTTTTGGGATAAAAGCTTTGAGGCTTGATTTGGAGTTTTTGGAACTTCTTCTACACGGATTTATGCTACAAGAGGTAGGTTTCCTTTCCTAACTAGGTTATTTCATCCTAGGGTTAAAATATGAAATGGGTAGGGTGTTAGAGATGTATTCTCTTGTATACCACGCACATAGGGTTGCTAGAATATGGAAAATGAGTGTAAGAATATTTTAAAACCAATTCTTGTATGATTTGGACTTGATAAAATTGCTTGATATGGATTTCATGGATAATGTATTGATTGAGCATTCAATTTGTTTACATTATCCTTATAGGTGTTTGATAAAATGCCTATAGATGTTCAAGTACGTTATTTAAATTGAAATGCTAGTGATGTTATGAAATGTTGCTATATGCTCTATGATATAAATGACATTGAGGAATTTGGGAATGTCTTTGAAATTGGATGTGCTGTCTATATGCTCATGACATGAGGAACATGATATTGGAAATTACAAATTATATTTGCAATTGCATGGATAACATCTCTTTCGTGGGCATTTGACATGAGTGTGGGTTTGTGTGCATGCTTTTGATCAAACACCATCCTTGGTGGTTTGATACGTGGGCTCGAAAAGTTTGGACCTAGGTTCTACTGAATTGCACGGGTTGCATTGAATATATGTGTCGGGGTTAGCGAAATGGGCTAGATTCTCCATCGGGTGTAAGACTCGATAATTTCGGATACGCACTCCCGCTGATTTGATTCCATGAAGTATGTCCGTGTACTCGGAACCATTGGGGGAAATCCATAAGATGTCGTGATGGTTGGGTACCCATTGGTGAAAGTCCATAAATACCAACCCCAATAAGACACACTATTTTATAAAATAGTCATTTGATGTATAACATCAATAGAGGGGGCTTGGAATGCCCGGATACATATGTATGACATTGCATGTACTATGCGAGCCGGTGCAAGGCTCAGGTTTGCATTGCATGTGAGAGTTCCATCTCATGAAATGGCATGGATAAGCATCATTCATTTATGAAATATATGTATCTAGATGAATGCTTGAAGTGATGAATGTGCATGTGACATTTCATATGCATCTAGGTTGTGGAGTAGCCACCTTAGGAAATATCCTATTTACCATGACTCACCCTTTGTGGGAACATATTTTAGGTGTTGAACAAACGCCGGTGAATGGCCCTCACTTGGGCTCTTGTTGACGATGAAGCCGGAATGTGGCTTTTGAATTGCATTTTGTACATCAATTATGTAAATTTTTTTGAACTTGTATATTTGTAATAGATTATGTAATGGAACTCTATTAGACAATGTTTTCATGTAAATGAATGAACATATCGAGTATGGTATGAATATAGATGAATATGAATTGTAAATTTGAAGAATTTGGGAAAATCTGGGCTTAGGTATTGGTATGTAGGTTCATAGATATAGCTACCACGCTATCCGATGACCCAAGTACTAACACATAGGCATATAGGTACCAGTACCTATATTCTAGTGGGCTCAAGTACCGATACCTTCGCCTTAGGTACCAGTACCTAAGTTCATAGGTACCGGTACCCCATAGATAGTGGGCTTAGTTACCTAATATACCACCAATGGGTGGCAAGAGCCTCTTGTCGTATATCCCAGTCTCATTCGTACCTCTTGGATCAAGCAAGTTTGTTTCTGTTGTTGTTTCTCATCCCCTATTGGTATCAACACTTCATGGAGCTCGCCATTCCCATGCACTTGACCATCCAATGCTTATAGGTACCGGTACCTCTTCATAAAAATTAAAATTTTGAATATAACTTTGTAGGGCCTTCACCTTTTGAGCTCTTTCAATTGAATGATGTAATTAGTTAAATATTAAGTCCTAATTGATAGGGTTTGGACCTTGCAATGGTGATACAATTAATAAGTGAACAGGTTATGTGTTGGTTAGTGCTTTCGTGTAAAGGAGACTAACAGATTCTATTTTTGTTAGGATCCCAGTGAAAAAGATGTAACGACATGATGTCGGGTTGTACGACATTCAACGAGTTGAGAAAGGATCCCTGGATTTAGGAGCATCAGTGTGTGCATGTTTTTAATCAAACACCATCCTTGGTGGGTTGATACATGGGCTTGGGAAAGTTGGACCTAGGTTTGACTGAGTCGTAAGGGCTGGGTTGAAAGTATGTGTCGGGGTTAACAAGAAGGACTAGATTCTTTGTCAGGTGCAAGACCCAGTAATTTCAGATATGCCTTCCCATTGGTATTGAGCCCATAAAGTGTGTCAATGTATGCGAAACCATTGGTGGAAGTCCATAGATGTTGTGTCAATTGGGTGACTATTGGTGGAAGTCCATAGATGTCGTGTCGATTGGGTGACTATTGGTGGAAGTCCATAAATATCCACCCCAAGAAAGACACAAGATTTTATAACATGGTCAGTGGATGTCTAACATCAATGGCTGGCACTTGGAATGCTCAGATGCATACACATGACATGGAATGTGTTATGGGACCCAGTAGAGGACTCGGGTTGTATTGCATGTGTGAGTTTCATGTCATGACATGGCATGAAATTGTGGCATTCATCTAGGTTAGGGAGTAGCCTCATTAGGAGATACCCTATTAAGCATGTCTCACCCTTTATGAGGATACATTTCAGTTATCGGACAAGCATTAGGGGACGACCCTCACTTTGGCCCGTGTTGATGACAAAGCCGAAGTGTGGCTCTTAAATTATATTTTGTACTCATTTATATAATTTTGTTTTTGGCCTTATATAAATCATGTACAAAACTTGTATTTTGACAAATGCATGTAACAGGACACTCTTGGACATTGTTTTTTTGTTATACAAAATGAATGTAATGGGTGTTATGTGAGGTGTATGGACAAAAGTTGAGCTTTGGAAGACTTGAGCCCTAGCTACCGTACCTCACGTGTACCTAGCTGGAAGAGGGCTCACGTACCAGTACCAAGATTCATAGGTAGCTGTACCACACTACGCATGGCTCAGGTATTGATACCTAGGTTCTTAGGTACCGGTATCCCGATGAATAGTGGGCTTAGGTACGAATACTTGTGCTCACAAGTACCAGTACCCCCACAAACAATGGGCCCAGGTATAGGTACCAATGCTTAATGGTATTGGTTCCTATAAATCAAAGGGCTTAGGTACCGGTACCACTTAATCGAGGTACCAGTACCTCTTCACAAAAATTAAAATTTTAAATGTAACCTTGCCAAGCCTTCACATTTTGTGCTCTTTCATTTGGATGATGTGGACCTTGGAAAGTTGTATGATTATTGTATGCACATGTTAAATCATGAGTAGAGCTCCCGTACAAAGGAGACTCTGCCCAAATTATAATTTTGTTATGATCCCAATGAATGGGGTGTAACAATGTGGAATCAGGTTATTCAGTACTCGCAAGTATATCTGCGAGTTAATGGGTGATCAACGGGTTGATAAAGGACCCCCGAATTTTGGGGGTCACAACGAAGGTAATGAGTATCCAAACTACAAGACTTGTAGCCCAAGGATTCAAAGGTGAAGTCTCCTTGAGCACAAAATGTGTTTCCTTTTTCTCTTAAACATCCGACTCTATGCTTGATGGTTTCTGTTGTACTACCTAATCTTCAGACATCATCCCTCAATGTGTGTATGGCTTATAGGAATGTGGGAGTGTCACTCTCCCTCAGAATGATGCAAGAAATGGGGAAATGGAATAATGGTGGAATGAAATATGTGTGTGTTTGTGTGAACAAAAATGCTCCCCAAGCGCACAGAGAATCTTGAAATGTCGTGCTTTACTTGGAATGGGTATTCCAAGGTCATCTCCTTAGGGAAGGAAGGGAATTGTGTGAAGGTGAATTTGTAAAAATGAAAAAGTGTAAAATTCTTTGATGTTTGAGTTTTGTGATTTGTGTTTTTGCAAAATAATGAAATGGAACAAGTGTTGGCTAATCTGAAATGGTTATTCCAATGGGAATGTCAAATCAATTCAAGATCTTCCTCTAATGGTGTATAGATGTTTGATTGATTCGTATGAAGCACGGGATCAAAATGGAGGTGAGGAGAATACCCCGTGACAATGCCTACGGTGAATCAAGAACTCACAACCATGTCCACACTCAATATCAATAACTGTATGAAATTCACAGCTGCAAAGTTTTGTGGATCCTCCGTTGAATTAAAATGTTGGGTATTATAAAAAAGCACTACTTGTCCAGATTGCAATTCTCCAAAAAAGTTTATATCAGAGTACGAATCATGCAAAAATCATACTAGATTATTGTTGTTTCTATTCGGCTGGCATACCCTGATGATCTCTTCTCCGGCGTCAGTGACACAATTCCGGCAAGTAAAGGCGTTAATGTCGCCTCTGTAGAGGAAGAGACCATGGATATCATTGAAAGTCTCATTGTAGAAGTCCATGGAGGTTGCTCTGGATGATAAAGAGTCCAAGAGGGAAGTGCGGTCATCTATGTAACTAGAGTTGGCTATGTCATCGGAACAAAGATAGGAGAGTGCTTGGGCATGAACACAGAAGATCTGCCCAAACCCATTGATTGAGATCATCACAAACAGTATGTATGATTTGAGGTCTTTGAGGAGAAGCATGATTTTTTTCTACTTTGAATGAAAATAGGTATCATTCAACACAAAATCATCTTAGTGTTCGGACATAAACAGAGACAATCTCAAATAATGATTGAGAGTGGTATGCTTATGTGTTTATTTCAATGGTTGGTGGGAAAATTATACTTTCACCCATCTACTATGTTACTTGTCTCACGTTATTCCTATCAAGTATTACAACAAATATCCACACAGCAAATATCCACCCATAGAACACAACGCACACACACCCACCCCATAGAACACACACACCCAGCACACATAACACACACACACACACATCCAGCACATAGAAACACACACACACACACCCAATCACACACAACATACATGCAACACACACAGATCTGTGTGTATATATAGACAGAGAGTGAGGAGATGAGATGATAGAGGGAGAAATAGAGAGAAAGAGAAGGGGCTTACTTGCCGTCGGTGAGAGAGAGGAGAGGAGATATCATCGATGAAGGTGAGAAAATGGAGAGAGTGAGGCAGTGATGGAGAGTTAGCGATGGATAGGAGAGAGAGATGGGTGGGATTAAATAGGTTCATGAAAAAAAGAGTATTTTTGCTGCTAAGGGAGTTCAAAACCCGGATCTCATTAATCACTTTTAGCGCCTGTTTCTGTTTCGCGTGTTTCTTGGAACAAAAATTTTTTGTTCTCAATTATTTGTCTTTGTCTCCAATATAATGAAAACAAAACAAAACCAAAAACAGTTACCAAACATATTTTTGTTTTTATTTTTGACAAAAATTGAAAACAAAAACACAAAAACAGAGACAAAGATAGTTACCAAACATAGCCTAAGTTTTCTAGCTATTCATCTTCTTCATTGGAGCTTTCTAAGCTTAGGTAGCCTCCTTTTTCAAAACTTGTGGAATGCTAAATATATGGTGTGTGAATGATGCATTTTTGTCCATCTGGCTCCCCTAGCCTGTTGGAGCAGGCCTCCCATCCATAGAAAGTGATTTGATGCATTGGATAGGCTAGGAAGAACTTAGCCTACAACTCCCCTGGCAGCCCCCTTATCTCCCATCCTCATTAATGCCATTGCCTCCAAAGTCCAAGCATGGGTAATGGGAGGCATGTAGATGTGTAAGGGATGTCAGGGAACAAGTGGGAGAATCAATGATGGGACCCCCAAGAAAGTGAAGCATGAGTTGTAGGCTTTCTGGGAATTTTAGGCAAAACCTTCTAGAAGGTCGATGCAAACCTTCCAGAAGGTTCATTCCAGTAAGCTAAACCTTCCGGAAGGTGACAGCTCAGGACCAATTTTTGTAGAACTGTCATAACGTTTTATCCAACCGTCTGATTGAGTTGAAATTTTGACATAACGTATAGGACAGCTAGATCTACAACTTTTTTGTTTTATACTTTTTCAAAATCTAAGTGAATCATGGTAAAAAAATGTGGAAAATAAAAGGTCATGTTTTGCACTTTTCAATTCCAGTGGACTAAACCTTCCAGAAGGTTTTCTTCCAAATGCATTTTTTCTTGCTTTCTTCACCTTCCAAGCCTTCCAATCCTCATGTAATGTGTCCATCTCTTCACCACTCATCCACACTTAGTTGCAAAGCTCTAAAAGCTATCATTTATGATATAATTACCTACAACATCAAAATTTCCACATTATTCATAACTTTGACCAACTCTAAGTAATTAAGTGCAAGGTTATGTAAAAATGAATGTAATGAGGCCATTAAATATGCAATATTATGTGCTCATCACAACCCCCCCCCCCCCCCACTTAAGCTTTACTAGTCCCTAGCAAACTAAATGTAAAAATTAAGAAAACAAAAATAAACCTATACTAATTCTGCTATTGCATTTAGCATATGTAACTAGCCTTTAAACCCCTAGGTGATTCCAAGTGGATGAGTTTTGTCTTGTAAAGGTTTCCAGTGAAGTTACCTACAAACTTCTTTTCTTAATATCCAACATTTAAAACATATTCTTGTATCCTAACTAGCACTGAGATGTCAAAATAACTTTGTCCAATGCACCCGAACAAATCACACATGAATCACATCATAGCCTTAAATGCTATTCTAGAGTATCCACCTACACATTTCCTTTCAAAAACTCGTGTGTGTGTGTGTGAAATGAACATGTAATTTAAGCGTTTACTCAATGGAATCCACATTCACTTAGCTATCCAAATTTAGCTTTGATGCAAAACTCACCAAGGGTTTCTCTCAACAATCAATCACATATAATCCAAAAATGTAGCACATGCATAAAAATGAAACAACCTTGGCATAATCTTACAAAAGGAATGCTAGGGCATTAGATAGCAAACCACCTTCTCTTTTTCTTTAAAAGTATGCATCTCCCATGCTTCTCTAGATCATTTAGGACATTCACGGGTTATAATGGGGCCTTGGGGTGATATTGAGGCAAATGAAATGAAGGATATAAGATAACAAAGAGGGTTGTTCCGAGTGAATGACTTTTATTTCAAAACATATCTCCCTTTTCATGGGATTTTCAGTCCAACACCATTACGACACTCTTTGTTTCTTTTCTTTTTTTTCTTAACATTTTCCTTTTTTTCTTTGATCGTTCTTTCTTCTTTCACCTCTTTCTCTTTCCTTTCTCTTGGATTTCTCATTCTTTTTCATTCAACTCTTTGAATTCAACTTCTTTCATCCCTTTGGTTAAGTTTCTTCATCACATTTCCTTCATTTTCATGTTTAATCATGATCAGCTCTCAAAACAACCAAGGTATGGCAAATTTTTATCTTTTTACACTGGCTTGGTCACTTGTGTGGCATGGAAACAAATTTTCAACAAGGCTCAAACATGGCACTATGGATAGAATTGCACAAGAAAAAGGCTAAGGGTCAAAGAAATCAAAAAATGGCTTAAGATCATCTCTAGATAAGCATAGGGAAGCATTGTACATATCAAGACAAAGTCAATTAACTACCCATATGCACCTAACCAAAACAAGCATAATGAGATTATTGAACAAATTGGGAATTTGAAAAATTGTTCCTTGAGTAAATGTAAGTTCCCTCCAAACAAATTTTGGCATTAAAGCTCACATGGGTTCTTAATCATCTCCACTATTCATGTCAAGCACTAAATGTGAACTCAATCCATAAATTGCCAAAATTAAAAGTTCATGGTGCACTTATGTTTGAGTTGAAAATCAAACATGTGATACTCTTAGCAATAGGATAAACCTCTATAATGTGATCATGTATTCAAAGTTTAAAATCAAGATCACAAATCCCATAGCCATTAGGATAGGGGAATATAGTTCAATATTGGATATATTTTTTTGCCAAATATTGTCCAAAATTTTTGAAATTTTCACATTTCCCATTATTCTATACAAAAAGTGGTGGAAAATTTAAATGGTGCACCTCACCCCTCAACTTGAACCATGTATTGTCCTTAATGCATAAGAATCATGCAATGAGAAAAATGAAAGTAACATGGGAAATGAGATACACCCCTTTTTTTCTTTTCTTTTTCTTTCTTTTTTTAAACACATTAAAGGGAAAATGAAACTCAAAAAAGCTTATTTACACCCCCCAACTTAAACTCACACATGACATTGAAAAAGATTTGTTACAATGATGTTTAAAATGAATTTAGTCCAAATTAGGGAGAGGTAAACAACTTCTACACTATAACAACATGAAAAGAAAAATATAACAATAAAAGAAATCTAACTACTATGTACATGAAAACAAACCAAAAGGGCTCATGTCAATCAGGCTTCAATTCGAATCTGAGCTTGCTTCCATTGAATTTTTTGATTTTAACATTTTTTTGTTGTATAAATGCCCTTCCTAACCAATCTATCCAACAATACAAAGGATAATGAATCAAAAATCTCAACCAAACAGAGGTGTATGCAAGTTTATGCAATTCCAACAATGGAGTATACAATTTCTCTTTAAGAATTTCTACACTTAACTCTCTTTCAATGCCCTCCCCAAGTTGAAAATTGTGAACCTCAACACCACTCTTTGATTGCAAAATGACCTTGGGCTCATTAGCCTCATGTGAGATAATATCTTCATTAATTTTTTCACAATCAAGAGTTGTCCCGTCCCCATATATAACAAACTATCTACAAATGAAAATGCAAACAAACAAAAGTATGTACAAGGAGCAATTTACCTAAGCCCGTGATAAACATCACGGGACTTACCTTTGTTGTCCGAAAATCACCTTCTTGATTCAACACTTTGCCTTCCCCAGCAACAGGGCCAAAAATGCTTGATGGTTTCTGTTGTACACCCTAATCTCCAGACATCATTCCTTAATGTGTCTATGACTTATAAGAATAGGGGGGTGTCACTCTCCCTCAGAACGATGCAAGAAATGGGAAAACAGAATAATGGTGGAATGAAATGTGTGTGTGTGTGTGTGAACAAAAATGCTCCCCGAGCATAGAGAGAATCTTGCAATTTCGTGTTTTACTTGGAATGGGTATTCCAAGATCATCTCCTTTGGGAAGGAAGGGAATTGTGTGAAGGTGATTTTGTAAAAATGGAAAAGTGTACAAATCTTTGATGTTTGAGTTTTGTCATTTGTGTTTTTGCAAAATAATGAAATGGAACAAGTGTTGGCTAATACGAAAGGGTCATTCCAATGGGAATGTCAAATCAATTCAAGACCTTCCTCCAATGGTGTCTAGATATTCGGTTGATTCGTAGGAAGTGTGGGACCAAAATGGAGGAAAGACCAAAATCTAGTTACTTATAATAAAAGGAAAGACATGCATAATGTAAAGAAACATAGTGAAGAAATGAAGATTGGAAGTTAACTTAATGCAAAAAATCTTAAACTATGAAGAAAAATATTCAATACCCAGTTTAAAGCTTGAAATCAAGGAAAATCCATACAACAATGGTAGAATGTAATTGGTGTATTTAAACTTGCAAAGCACTTGAAATAAATGAAATTAAAGACAATAAAATGAAGCTTACAAGATCCTTACAAAAGATTACAAGTGAAATTGGTAAAGCCAATG